ATTTCAGTCTTTTTGTATTTGTTGAGATTTGTTTTGTGCCCCAGTATATGGGCAGTTTTGGAGAATGTTCCATGGGGCACTGAATAGAAAGTATATCCTTTGGTGCTTGGGTAGAATACTCGATAGATGTTTTATGAAGGTGGGTGCACCAGAGTTTGGTGAATATATGTTCATGATTGTAACATTTTCTTGGTCAGTTGTTCTTTTGATCAGAATGAAGTGGCCCTCTTTATCTCTTCTGGTTAGTTTTAGTTTAAAGTCTATTTTGTCAGATGTTAGAATAGCAACACCTGCTTTTTTCTTAGTACCATTCACTTGGTATATGTTTTTCCATCCTTTCACCTTAACGTAGCACCTGTCCTTGAAAGTGAGATGAGTTTCTTGCAGACAACAAAAAGATGTGTTTTGTTTCTTACTCCATTCACCTAGTCTGTGTCTTTTGACTGGGGAGCTCAGTCCATTGATACTTAAAGTTATTAATGAAAGATGTATAATCCATTCACCTAGTCTGTGTCTTTTGACTGGGGAGTTCAGTCCATTGATTTATTTAAAGTTATTAATGAAAGATGTGTATTGAAGCCTGTTATTTTTATTTCTGTTCACATACTTGATATAGCTGTACTTTTCCACAGTTATACCTTCATTGAATTTCTTTCTGCAACCTCTTGGGTATAGTCATTCCCTTCTTCAGCCCTTTGTATTGCTTCAAGAACTCTCTGAATGGCTGGTTTTGTGGACATGAATTCTTTAAGCCTATATGTGTCATGGAAGATTTTTCTTTCCCCTTCAAATATAATAGACATTTTGGCTGGGTATAGTACTCTGGGTTGGCATCTGTGGTCATTTAACACTGGGAATACTTTGGTCCAGGCTCTTCTGGCTTTCATAGTTTGCACTGAAGAGTCAGCTGTAATCCTAATGGGTTTTTCTTTATATGTGACTTTTCTTTTGCAGCTTTCAGTATTGTGTCTTTGTTCTGTATGTTTAGTGTGCCATGGAGAGTTTCTTTTCTGGTCCTGTCTATTTGGTATTCTATATGTTTCTTGTATTTGTATGGGCATGTCTTTCTTTAATTTGGGGAAATTTTCTTTTATGATTCTGTTGAGGATCTGGTCCATGCCATTATCTTGGGATTCTTCTCCTTCCTGTATGCCTATGATTCTTAAGTTTGGTTTTTTTATGGTGTCACACAATTCCTGCATATTCCATTCTTGTGCTTTCTTAAGTTTTTCATAATCTTTGCTTGAATGGTCTAGTTTGTTTATCTTCCAGTCTTGATAATCTGTTTTCCATTACATTTATCCTATTGGTGAGGCTTTCTCCTGTTTCTAATTGGCTTACTGTTTCACTTCCTTCTTCATTTCATCCTGAGTATTCTTCAATACTTCTAGTTCTTTTCTGAATTCATTCAGTTTATCCCTATCTTCCTTCAGTTCCTTGATTTTTTGTGTGTGTGTTCTTTAAATTCACTGAATTCTTTTATCATGTTTATAATTGTTCTTTTGAGAATCATGTCTTGAGTTATCTCTAGGGGTTCTCATTGTACTCCTCTAGAGGACTATTGGTATTTAGTGGGGATATGTTATTTTGGTTTTTCATGTTATTATTTTTTCTCTGTGACTTTGACATGTGAATTTCTTTTGCAGTTTCTGATTCTTGTATGAGACGCCTTCAAATTTAGGTCTGCTTCTTTTTGTAAACTTTATGTGACTTTGTGGTTTACTTGTTGGGCATGAAAAGCCAGTTGGTCTAGGCTTCTGGTTCTCTCTTTTGATTTTATATTGGAGTGTCCAGATTGCTTTTGTCTTCAGGAGTTCCCACAGAGGCCCAAGTCAGATGAGGATCAGATGCTCTCAAGCTTTCTCTTGAGGTCAGGATCACTCCAGGAAAGATGTTGTCCTCAGGAATTTGGGGGCTAGACTGGCCTGGGAGCAGTGCCCAGGAAAATGCTGGTCTCGGGCAGCTGGTGGCCGTCCCACACAGGGAAGACGAGGGAGGTGAGGGCGGGACCAGGCCCAGAGGGCTCCTGGGGACCACAAGAAGGAACTGGGTTGGTCTGGATGCAAAGGATCAGGAAGGAGTGGTGGTTCCAGGCTGAGAGGTCAGTTCCGGTGTCTGGGGTGCCAAGGCAAGAATTGGGCCACTACCCAGGCAAGGAGCAGAGATGGGTTGGGGGAGTCAAGGACGGTGGGCGCCACTGGACTTACCCAGGAGAGGCTGGTGGGTTGTGTAGCACAGGGAAGCAGCACCTTTTAATTTTTAAAATTGATTTATTTACAGGTTCCTGAGTCCTGAATTCATCCCTCCAAGGGGAAGAACAAACCCTCTGAAATTTCAAATGGAAAGAAAAGATATGTTAGCCAGGAGAAAAGTGCTCCACATTCCAGAGTTCTACGTTGGTCAGTAACAGCTGGATGCATTTGTTAGTCGTTGGAAGATTAGTTTTTTTTCCATAAAGATTCTGGGTTTTTCCCTTAGTAATTTATTCCTACCATATTAAAATACCTAGAAACCTTATTTGTTCATTTCCACATCTCATGTGAGTTCACTTCTCTTTTGAATTTGCAGGAAGCATATTGCGTGTCACCACAGCTGACCCCTATGCCAGTGGAAAAACCAGCCAGTTCCTCGGGATTTGTATCCAAAGATCAGGAAAAGGACTTGGGGCTACTTTTACCCTTAGAAACACAATTGAGGGACAAGGTGAGTGTTTTCTGCTTGGAGTAGGACAGTGGAAGTGTGGGAGGGATTTTCAAAGTGCCGTTGAAGTGTCTGCTATCTCCTGAAGGCTTCTTGAATTATAGGGGCAATACTCATTAGGACTGGAGTTACTGGGCATAATGGCACAGCCCTGTAGACCTAGGACAGGGTAGCTGAGGCAGGAATTTATAAGTTCAAGGTCAGTTTGTGCTACATAGTGAGACCCCATCTACAAAATACAGATTTTACAGTCATGGCATCTTCAAGACTAGAGACAAATGTGTATAAAATAGTGCAAGGAGATTCCCTTGTTTTTATTTAGTAGCAGTATTTTTGTTGGTTTTGAGAGAAAGTCTTACCATGTAGCCCTTGAGTGGCCTATAACTTTCTATGTAGGCTGACCTCAAACTTAGGGTAATCCCCCTGCCTCTGCTGGTATTACAGACATAAGGCATCATGTTTGACAGGATAGTCTTTTTCAGACCAAACGACCTACAAACCCACTAAGATAGACATGATGACATTCCTGAGTTTGGCTCCTAACACGAAAGCCCCTGTTTTGCTTTATGCTATGTTATGTAAGATTCAGAAGTATGAACAGTAACGTGTTTGTATACTGTGACTAATACAAGAGGAGCCAGTAGAAAGCTCCTAGGAAAGGGATGGATTAAAATGCCAAGCGAAGGGCGCTCATAGTTACTGGCATGTGCTTTGTGATTCTCATTAGTGAAATATCTTCAGAGACAGTGCTAAAGTGGGAGCACTGTCTGTCTTGTTGATCCTGTAGTGCTCTTGGGGCTGTGCACGAAGCATATCAGTAGGATTTGATTCACAGAAAGCTGTGTCTTCAGTCAGGTTGTCCACTTGAAGCCTTGTAGATAATGAGCTGGTCTGAGTCAAGGGACCTGGGTTTGGTTTTCTTGAAAACTGAGATGTTTTTACCTCATGGCTCTAGTCAGTCAGCTGTGTGTTTGACTACTGTGAACAGCTCTGAGCTGCACCATCTGTGTTCCTGTGTTAGTTGTTTCTTGTCTAGTGGCTTTTCATACATCCTCTGATAATTCCTGACACCTCCAGGTCTGACCCTTTTCAGGTTCCTGTTTACTTGTAGCTAACTACCTCTTCATCATCTTTGGATGTCTTATTGACCTTTATTGTCCCTCACAGGGTGTTCTTTCACAGTCTTCTGTTTTCCTAAGTGGTGCCACTGTCCACATATTTTTATAATTCAAGAATCTAGGAGCTCTTTTTAAAAAAGATTTGTGTGTGTGTCTGTGTGTGTGCAGGTGCTAGTGGAGGCCAGAAGAGAGCATCAGATCCCCTGGAGCCGGAGTTACAGGCAGTTGTGAGCTTCCTGACATAGGTGCTGGAAACTAAACATGGGTCCTCTGCAAGAGCAATATGCACTCTTAACCACTGAGCAATCTCTGCAGCCCCTAGGGGCTCTTTTTATTCTCTTGCACACTATTCAGTAGTCCGTTATCTTGGCTCAGTCTCACATGTTCTAGTTATTTCTCCCTCACCCTTGCTGCTACTCTGTCACCATCACTTTCTTCCTGCAGTTGTCAGTCTCCAATTCACATCCTGGTCTCTTAACCTGCTTGTAATGCTATCACATGATACCCAGACTGTGTGCTTTATAAAGAACAGACATTTTTCACAGGGCTGGCAGCCGGGAAGTCCAAGATCAGTACATTGGCAGGTTCTGTGTCGGGTCAGGGCCCAGTCCCTGCTTCCTTTGTGCTGTGTCCTCATCTGGTAGTGGGTAGAACACAAAGGTCTAAACTGCCTTGCTTCCCTCCCACAGTCTTACAAAGCACTAAACAATCCATCTGTGAGTACAGAGCCTTCAAGACTTATCAGTCCCCCAAAGACCCCAATTTCTAATAGCGCCACAGTACAGGTGTTCTAGATTAACTTTTTTTTTTTTAATTTATTTTTATGTGTATGTGTATGTTGCTTGCATGTATGTGAGTGCACCCGTGTTGTGCAATGCCACGGAGGTCAGAAGAGGGCTTTGGATTCCCCTGGAACTGGAGTTAAGGACGGTTCGTAGCCGCCATGTGGGTGCTGGGAATCGAACCCAGGTCCTCTGCAAGAGCAAGTCACTGCTCTTAACCACCGAGTCATCTCTCCAGCCCCAACTTTTTTATTTATTGTTTGTGCATGGTGCCACAGCATACCTGTGGAGGTCAGAGGACAACCTACAGGAGTCAGTTCTCTCTTTCCACCATGTGGGTTCTGGAGATTGAGTGCAGGCTGCCAGGCTTGGCACCAGACAGCCTAAAGGACCACTTGCACAGGGATGGTATTGCCTCTGGGGGTTGGGCCCCTCCTACCTCAGCAGTCAAGACTGCCCCATAGACATGTCCACAGGCCAATTCCTCAACCGGGGTTCCCTCTTCCCCAGTGACTCTTGGTCGAGTCAGGTTGACAATAAAAACCAACCAGCCCACCTGGCTTTTTCAACATGGCAAATATTTTGACTCTCTTGGGTCTTTGTATTCATCTTTTTTCTTTTCTTATTCTTTGAGATGGATTCTCACTGTTGCCCATGTGCATTCAGATGCTTCTCCTGTTTCAGCCTCCAAGTAGCTAGGATTGCAGGTGTGCATCACCACACCTGCCTTTGCTGTTCTTTCTGCCTGGAACATTCTTGGCTTTTTTATAGTATCCGTTCAGATGTCAGAAAAACGTTGCTTGACTCCATAAAGTTGTCTCTCCCAGTCCCATTGCCATCAGACTGTCTTGTCTGTTTTGTTATTTGGGCTTTTGTTTTTTGTTTTCTAGCCCTGTAAGCTTTGTAAGACAAGCATCTTAACAACTTTGGTTTGCTGCTGGCATAGCTTCTAGACCAAAGTCTAGAACAGAAGAGACATACAATAAAGAATGAATTTTGGTATTCAACACTAGAAGCAAATGTTGATATGTGATAGTATTTATATTTTTCTTATTGGTTCAGAAAACCTCAGGAAATACTCTTCCTCTAAAAGAGTTCATGTTCAAGCACTTCCTGGCTTGTTTTGTGAAAAGGGTTCCAGTGCATTGGGGGTGGGAGTGGGGAGGGGAGAGGGAGTGTAAGCTAGAGGGGGCTAGCTAGTTTACACCATCCTTTACAGGACCTTCTGAATCAAAGAACTCAAAATTTAATCAGTTTTTTGTTCTTATTGAATTTATGTGTTATTTCATACAGAATATCTCAAACACTCTCAATCATCTTTATACCCCCATTCCTACTGGCACTCTCCTATAGTCCCCCCACTAGAACCCATAAACTCTGTCATTCATGTTAAGGCCCACTGTGTCAAGTCAGTGTCCCCAGATTTCCCCAGTGCAAGTCCATCTCCTGAGGTCTAGTCAGCTTATCTAGTCTGTTGTTTTAGGAAGATCATTTCTTCCTCACCTAGCAGTAATCAATTGTCAATATTTCTTCAGGTAAGATTTGGGTCTGCTATTCAGTTCCCAAGTTCTATGCTGGATTATTGCCTGCCTGAGTTTGCATGGGACTTGTGTTTGCTGATGCCATTGCCATAGAATCATATGAGCAGGTTCCAGTAGCTTGTAGGACTCTGTTGCCCTATGGTCACGTACCTCCTTCCTGGCTCTTACAATCTTTCTGCTCCTGATGGTCCCTGAGCCTTGGGTGGGTGAATGCAGGACTCCTGTCCAAGGACCAGCATTCTGTAGACTCAATCTCTACATTTTGGCCATTTGTGACCTTTTGTGTTCCTGGCCCTCTGTTGCATGAGGGAGCTTCATTAGTGGCAGATTCATTGGTGTCCTCTACCCCTGTTCTATGTTCCATGTGCCTAGGTTGCATTGTATATGTATCACTTAGGCCTGGGCCATTCATAGACAATGTCTGTGTGTGACCAGTTGTGGTACTTGGTTAATAGTCTCCAACTGGTACAAAAGCAGCTTTGATGAGTGGTGACTGGGGTATTTGTCTGTAAATATTAAGGATACATATTTTTCACATAGTAAGAAATTACATTAGATTAGGGGTGTGACAGTCTTGGGGTTTTCTCTAAGATCTGTGACCACTCCAGCCATGTGTATTTGGTGGTTATGTTTACAGTGCCACACTTGAGTTCCCTACCATTGAGTGGGCTTTTATTCCAATTAGGTAGGTGTTGACTGCCCCCAGGATAAAAGTGCCACTCCTGCACCAGTGCTGCATGTTGTGCTGGCCATTGATGTGGTTATTTGGTCTTGTATCATTAATCTTAGCATTACTCTTAACATGGATGATTAATTTGTAGCAAGTATTTGGGAAATAATAAATGACAGAGAAACATTTACTGTTTCTGTAAGTTAATGCATGTTATTGTAGTTGAGATATGACAATATACTTATAGAAGACCTCTTTAGATTTTATTCAAATTCTCACTTTTTAATTTAAATGAATTTTAGATTATTTTTCTCTAGTAATCTTTTAAAATTCCATGTTTTTGTCTCCCTTGCTAGCTTTTCTACTGTAACCTAAGGCACTGCAGGAATCTGGACTTAGATTGTAATAATGTTTTCTTTTTAGGTGTTGAGATTTGCTTTGAACTATATAATCCTCGAATCCATGAGATCCAAGTGGTCAAGTTAGAGAAGCGGCTGGATGACAGCCTGTTGTACTTGCGAGATGCCCTCCCTGAGTACAGCACTTTTGATGTGAATATGAAGCCAGTTGCTCATGAGTCCTGCCAGGAAGTTCCTGTTAATAAGGTAGACAGTGTACATTTGGCACCAAAGTACAAGCATAAAAACAAGAATCATTGTAGGGAAAATGTTGGAAGAGCTTTTGCTTATGTCTTATCAGCCTAATATTCTTATTTTTGTATTTCCTTAGCTGAAAGTTAAAATGAAGCCAAAGCCCTGGTCCAAACGGTGGGAACGCCCAAACTTTAATATTAAAGGGATCAGATTTGATCTTGTGTTAACTGAAGAGCAAATGAAGGAAGCCCAGAAGTGGAGCCAGCCATGGCTGGAGTTTGACATGATGAGAGAATATGACACTTCAAAAGTTGAAGCTGCAATATGGAAAGAAATAGAAGACTCAAAGAGTTCCTGATCTGGGGCTGTTGAGATGGCTCTGTGGGTAAAGGCACTGAGTGCCATCCCTGGAACCTAGGTTAGGAGAGAAGTGACTCCTGAAAATTGTCCTCTGGCCTCTACATGCACACCCTGGCACACATGGACATGTGTCCACACACAGACAAACAATAATAAAAATAATTTTTTAAAATCCTGATTCTGAGGATGCCTTTGGGTATTTGCAGAGTTTCTGCTCTCAGGACTGATTTTGAAACAAGTTTAGTTTGATTTAGAAGAATGTAGCCTCCAAGGCTGGAGAGGTGGCTCAGCAATTAAGAGCACTGGCAGCTCTTGCAGAGAACCTGGGTTGGAATCCCAGCAGCCACATGGCGACTAACTGTGTATAACTCCAGTTCCAGGAATCTGACACCCTCTTCTGTCTTCTCTGGACACTGCACAGTATGGGTGCTCTTACATACATACAGGCATAAATAACACTCATATACATAAAAAAATATATAAATCAAAAAATTTTTAAAATAAGAACATAGCCCCCATGGGCACCCAAACATGTAGCACTCACAAAGATACACACATATACACACATATCCAGTCTTTTAAATAAAAGACTGGATATTTTAAAAGAAAAAAAAATTCCCCATTGAATTAACTTGTCCCTTTGGTCAAGAATTGTGTACCCAACAGGTCCAGGCCTGTTCCTGGAATCTGCTCTACCATCCGTGTTACACTAGTCTAATGCCATGCTATCTTGGTTACTTACAGCTTTATATAGTCTTTTTAAAAAAATCAGTACAAGTCTTCCAACTTGCTGCTACATAAAATTTCAAATCAACTAGCCTATTCTTCTTTTCTTTTTTAAACTGAGATTTTAATAGTGATTACATTAAATTTACAAGTCAGTTTAAGGAGAATAAACACCTTAACCAAAATTAAGTTTTCCATCTCATGAACATGGGCCATCTCTCCCACTGTTGAGGCCTTTTAAGTTTTTCTTGCCAGGTGTGGTGGTATAGGTCTATAACCCCAGCTTGTGGGAGGCAGAGGCAAGAAAAGTCCAAGTTCAATGCCGACCTGTTCTTCAGAATGAGACCCAGTCTCCCAAAACAAAGAAACAAAAATCTCAAGCAAACAGGAAAAAAAAGCATAATCGAAGAACAGAAATTTTCTTAGCAGTTTGTACTTTCAGTGTAGATTCACTGCATATGCCATGACTGCATTTGTCTCTAGGTATTTAAGTTTTTTAACTCAAGCTAATGGGGAACTCACTCGAGTATTGGAGGATGATCTTAAACTTCTGGTTCTCCTGCCTCTAACCTGGGGTTATAGGTTTGTACCATCATGCCCAGTGGGGTGCATTTGTGAAATTCTTTCCTGTAATCACTGCATTGAAATGACTGGTTCTTCAGTCCCTGAGATGTGGTTTTTCTCCTATACTCCATTAACCCTTGAATGCTGAGCTAAACTTTCCTTCCTGGAATAAACTTTAGTCATGATGTAGTATCACTTTTTTTCTTTTTAACCTTTGTGTGCCTTTGAGTGTGGGCACATGCAGACCCTGACTTGAATGTGGATGTCAGAGAACAATTCTAGGTTTTGATATTTGCCTTCCACCTTGTTAAGAGGTAGGGTCTCTTGTTTGCTGCTGTGTATACCAGGCTAACTGGCCAGTGAGCTTCTTGGGATTCTCCTGGCTCCACCTCCCATCTCACTGTAGGAGCACTGGGATTACAGACACGTCTGGCTTTACATGGGCTCTGGGGATGTGAATCTCAGGTCTTCATGACTGACTGGCAAACACTTTCTAACTGAATCGCCTCCTCAGCCCCTTTTTATATACTACTAGACTGACTTTGCTTAGAACTTAGGGGTTTCATTCCTATATTTATGAGAGTATCTTACCTAAGGTATTTCTTAAGTTGTGTATGTAGGTACTACTCTGTCAAGGTCTTAATAAATTCAGAACCTGGGCCAGGAACGTACCTCAGTGGTAGGGCACTTGCCTGTCAACTGACAGGCCCTAGGTTTGATCCCAGCACCAGAAAATGCCAAATAAAAAATTAATAAATGCAAACCCCAATTGTTTTGGGAGTTTCTCATGATTAAAAAAAGTTAAAAATCCTGTTTGATCTGTAAAAATTTCACATTCTTTAGTGAAGAAGAAGCTTAATGAATACACAGACTTGAGATATGAAGTGCACTGCCAAATCACTGCCTGCCTGCTAGCTGTGCTCTTCAGCCTATCAGTCCACAGGCAGAGGAAGGCAATAAAGACTGTTTCAATGATGATGGGTAAGCAACACATCTTTTGATTGCAGTACGTAAGTAAAACAGAGGTTAGATTCTAGGCATAATGAAATTTAAAGACAATAGGTTAGTATTTTCCATCCTATGGAGAGCAAGAGCAGTATTTCTGCTTAATCTAAAACCAGAGAACATATCCAACTTATCTATTAACAACCCAGAAATCAGGATAATTTCTAAATGTGCCTTTTAAAAGTAAAATTTTATAAATATATACAATAAAGTCTCTGCCATCTATACACAAACCAAAACTTTCTATACACATACACACATGCTTTTGTAAGCAGGGAAAATGTCTGAAAGAACACTAAAACGAACCTTCTGGGGATGGTAGCTGTGTGGGAATGCTAAATGTCCAGCGGTGGTCTGACTTTTCTACATGTGGTTCTATTCTTGTAGTTTGTGTAACTAGTACAAACTTAAAACTATCACCCTACTGAATCACAAGCCTTCATTGCTGTAGATAAATAGCATGCCCAACTGTTAAAATAAGTTGTATAAGTGAAATATGTAACTTTGAAAGTAGGTGTGATATAAGTAGGCCACATATTCAGATACTACAATATAACCAGATTTTCTAATTATCTTTTGAGCAATGATTTGCAAAATATATAGTTATAGTCATCCTTGAATTACTTCAAAATAGACAAAATTACTAATAAAATCATTTTGAAAAATTCTTAATTTCTTTTTAATTACCTTGCCTTAGAGTTCCTTAATCAGAAAAATATTTTACCACATTTCTATATCTGAAAGACCAGTGGCCTTTTTAATCTTACCAATGACACAAAGCATAACAAAAGAGCATTACTCGCTATCAAGTGATGATACCAAACAAACAAAACAACAAAAAATCCCCTCAAAACTTATAC